AGGCTCCACTCGCCTCTCTCCTCCATATCCCATAACATATTCATGCTTTTCTATACCCCGCCCCCATCTTTATATTCCAGAATCAAATTTATGTACTTCGTAGGGTAGCGAACACGATAACCATGGTCTCAACTACGTTCTCTACTTAATACTTTCACATTCAATTCTGTTTCATTTAATTTAAATTTCTCGGTTTTGGCCTGCATCTATCATATTGCTAATATTTTTCTATGTATGTACTATACAAAAAAACATTCATTCATTTAAAATATTAGACATTTTATGAAGGTATGAATCGAAATACAATACACAACAATTAAATAATAGTTTTTTTTCTTGAAGCTATATGAATATCGCGTAAATGCTAAAATCATCCAATTGAAATGAAAGACTAATTGAAAGTGAAACAGAGCATATTTACGGAAACACGATGAACACGCATAAATATTATCCCACTATTTAGCCGGCGGTAGATTGCAGGGGGTAGAGACCCACATTCAAAATCAGAGCCGTTCTCGAAGCTTTCAAACCATCGGAGTAGATGAAATATGGGCTACACAATTTTTACCATAGGAAGCGCTCAGCTCTTTAAGTATTACGATAGCGCCGATTATTAAGTTTATTCGTGAAATATCTGAAACTTATAGCATGCAATATTGTGTTGCACGTCTTTGTTCTTGTAATTTCATCTTCTAAAGATCCACTCAGCACACGACTCACTTGTATCTCGACGACTCTCGAAACTTTTGTTCGCGCCTGAAATTTCCTTCGACCGAACACGGATCCACTCTGAACGAACTCTCAAGTGATTGTGATAAAAAGAGGAGACAAGGATGAAGAAAGAAACATCCCGCGCAAAATGTGATCCGTTTGTTAGTGTACTAACCAGGTTTCACTCAAAGGACTAATTCGGTTGTTATTGAGAGGAGACACGAAAACGTAAGCACCAAATCAGCCGACCACTAGATTTCTCCTCCGAACAGTGATTTAATACGGTGAACTATGTAGCGAAGGTCGCAAATACGCCGTCTGATTTCCATGAGACTCCCTGGTCAATGACGCTGCACAGGCAACCGTGTTGCCGCTGAGCAGTAGTAGCAGTTTTATCGCAACCGACCTCCCGACCCATCCTCTTGCAGCGTCCAACCTCCTCCGAGCCCTTCTCGTGCCGCCCGGGGCGCAAAAACGGGCCTTCTGGAATATTGGATACCACGAACCCCCTCCTCCACGTTCCCCGTGCGTCCTCGAGGCTACGTTAAAGAAATCTTCTCCAGGGCCGTAACTTGTTCGGGCCTTCCGTTTTTCGACGTTGCGGGTAATAAAATAAACTCGGGTTATGAGGGGGCAGAGGATAGATTCGTTCCCGACGCAGGTCGTCCCATCTTCAACCGTGCCAAGCGAAAACTATTTTTAATATTCTTTTGAATAATGTATTGTTAATATTCTCACACTAAATTGTGACACTCGGTAAAAGTAGATTGTGAAATAGGAGATAATTTTTAAATTTCTTACGCTCTTTTGGCGATTTTCTTAACAAATGAACAGTTTTATTACCGAGATATATAAGATTACTTACATGTTTTGAGACTTCAAGACAACGCGTAATAATTGTCTTTGTAATAATTGAAATTGTCTACGCTTAACCCCAGAAATACCATGACCAATCCTGCACATTTGCAAGAGCGGTGCACATTGCTTAAATTTTACTTTTAATGATTTTTCGACGATTTTGATACAACGATAGATGTAATCAACACACGACATAAGTTTTTTGTTGAAATGAATGCACTATTCAATCTTTGCCTCTATGTAAAATAATATCGACTTAGTCATCAATATTTGTGTTTAATGACGAAACCCTTTGTTGTTCAATAAAGGCCAATTTATTTTCATTACCTAATATAATAAAATGTATTAAACAAAAACTTAAAATACAATAAATATTTCCAGAATGTGTTTTGAATGTTTAGGTTTTGAGAGAATAGTCCTGATTTTTGGGTTCAGTCAAGGGCGCTGTAATAAATCATATTAGTAACAAAACTTGCATTAAATTTCATCATATTTCATAAAAAATCATATCACGAACAATATCAATGACTTTTATCTTCATATTGAAAAAGACTCATTGTTGGGATTCTGTGTGGGCTTCTCTTGGTAAATCTACGGTTAAGTATCTCTAAAGCCAACAAGAATTTTCCGCAAAAGAGAACTATTTTTATCATTATGTTATGACTAATCTTGGGTACTGTAATAATGTTGAAATATTTAAGACGTCCGACTATAAGAATAATAAAGATTAATTACAATAATAATAATAATAATCATAATGCGGAGTAATATGTCAGAAATGAAAGATTGTGTAAATCTATCGAAAGAAATAACACTTAAAATATTAACTGAAACACCCACAGACATAATAAAAAAAAGATATCTCCAGAAAGCAAAGTCAAAAGTTTTCTGCTCAATTCGCAGTAACGCATAATGTGATGAATGCAGCGATTTACTCTCTGCATATTGAGATCAAAAGTAGGATTTCCTGATACAAAATATTTCGTGACATTCACATGAAGACATGTTTTAACTATGTTCTACTCAATAAAAAATAGAAAACTTTTCTACATCAGGAATCAACAAAACTTGTTTTTCTATCAAAAAACAACACTGTTTTTGCGTCGTTCCATTAATTTCTTTATACGTATCAAGTATGCGAGGAAGTGAAAAATTGCGAATATTTAGGGAGTGTTCACCTTTCAAGGGATATTGCTCTAATACACTTTGGCAGTAATGTCAAAAGAACTTCATCGCACATTTGGTACACTATCTACAAATGTAACGTTGGGGCAGTGTAAAGATTGTGCTTAGGTTTCCAAAATACTTTTCTTAATAACAAGGTATACACATAAATCAAAACTATATACCGGTTTGGAACACACATACCACGGTTAACATTTCAGTTACTCGTTCCCTTTACAGCAACCTTAGTGAAAACAGACTTTCAGCACCCAGCGGTTTGCCTGTGGCTCAGGCAGGTGAGCAAAAAAAAAATCTCCCGCACCTTAACTTGTTCGACTTTTCCATCCAGCGGCGACGAGGGTAATGAGATCAGCGCGCTTGCTCCCGCGAGCAACGGGGCGGGGGGGCGGGGGGGGGCGAGGATATCAGGAGGTGGGGATGTACAAGGAGAGGGAGTTGTGGCGGCGGCAACGACGAGCCGGGGTGTCCTGGTCTTCAGCGCAATCGATGAACGGAAGGTGCAACCTGCGAATTTCGGCAAAGAAATGTCTCACCTGCGCAGCTCACTTTCTAAAACTGCGTACAATTTTTGGGTAAAAATATGGAGAGCGGTGAGGGTCTAATGGTGCCCATAAAGTTACGCATTACTTTATTTTCTTGCATCGAGAATAATTAATGAACTGATGTTATTTAAGTGTGTCTGTTAAAAAAATCAAGATACAAATGCGTAATTAAACAAAATGGCTTATGCACTTCATAAAAAATAATCTTAATGCTAGATCATCGGTTAGATAAATCAACGACGTAAATCCTATATTTGACATAAATAAGTAGTTTTATTTTGTACAAAATAACTGAAGTGGAAGGCATTGCATATCCATAAAAAGGTTAATTTCATAAGCCTAATTTATAGTTTACTTACTCCGAGGTAAAAATGGAAATGTCGATACCCAAGTGCAAAGACACGAGTAACAAAATCTTTTTTTAACTATGTTAATTCAGAGTATTTTGATAATAGTGTAAGTTTTCAAAATAAGAATATTTCAGAGTCAAAGATAAAAGCATCTCCCATCTCCATACTAATATGTTCGTGACATTCATACCTATTTATAATATCCATTGTTTGTAAAAATGTCAAGAAAAGATTTTCAACTACAATACCAATCACATTGTAACGTGAAATACAGACACACACATCTTAATTTTAATTTTGTGAATAATTAAACCGGAAAAAAATAAAAAAATTTAAAAAAAAATTGCGTACTGCATTTCAAAAATTATAAATTAATTTTAACGTAAGACATGAGAGAAAGTAGCTAGGATGTTTAAGGCAGTAGTAATTGAATTCCTATCTTTTAGCTAATATTTACAATGTGTAGCTGTAACAATCTAATTCAAATTTAAATGTTTCCCAATCGATGCATTTATTATTTAGCATTTATTATTTTGGTAAAAATCTATTCAATTTTTCCGTGTTTTTAATTTCTTTCGTGAACGAAATTATTTTCAGTATTTCATTCAAAATTTACACTATAACAATTGAATTAAAACCATTACTTCGAGACACACCACAAGAACCTTAAATGCGTCAAAAGTGACTATTATTCCAGTGAACATTCAATCTTGTGATTATATAATATTGAATGACCCATACACTAAACTGCGTGTCTGTAGACTTACAGTTTTTTTATTAAATACCTGGAACAGATCTAAATATTACCTAAAATCCATACTTTAGAGTTTGAAATAGCCAACTGATAAAATTAATTGACCGGACAAAGCAAAAATCTCAAAATACATGCCGGACAGCAATTTCTCACAAATTTGTTTCGCAGTCTTCACATAACGAGCTTTTCCACATTCTTCGACTTGGACATAAATCATCTATGTTCCACGAACCATTGAAAGCGTGAATTAATTTTGTGACGCGAGGTTCAGGTGTTTCTACCAGCTAAAATAACACACGAAACGTAATTTATATAAAAAGGCTGAATTGACAGAAGTATGTCATCCATAACTGTCAGACTAAACATTTTGTAGATGAAACTTGTAAATGTGTAAGGAATAAGATCTAGTTGTGCCGTTCCAAAGATAATTAAAATATTTTCATTTCGGTGGTAA